GAATGGTAATCATAGAATCACTATGGTTGGAAGAGACCTCTAGGATCAAGTCTAGCCTTTATCCCAGCATTTCCCTAACTGCTAGACCATAGCCTCAAGTGCTGCATCTGCTCGTGTTTTGAACACCTCTAGGGAAGATGGCTCCACCACCTCCCTGGACAGGCTGTTCTGGTGCCTAACCAGTCTCTCAGTAAAGAAATTCTTCCTTATATCCAATTGAAATCTCCCGTGGCGCAATTTGAGGCCATTTCCTCTCCTATCATCAGTAATTTCAGAGAAGAGACTGACACCAGCCTCACTACAACCTCCATTCAGGTAGTTGTAGAGTGCAATAAGTTCTCCTCTAAGGCTTCTCTTCTCTAGACTGAACAACCCTAGGTCCCTCAGCTGGTCTTCATAAGGCATGTTTACCAGCCTTGTTGCCCTTCTTTGGACCTGCTCCAGCACTTCCATGTCCTTCTTATCTTGTGCCCAAAACTGGACATGGTACTCAAGGTGTGGTCTTGTGAGTGCTGAGTACAGGGGCACAGTCACCTCTGTACTGCTGCTGCTCACACCATTTCTGATCCAGGCCAGGATGCTGTTTGGCCTTCTTGGCCTCCTGGGCACACTGCTGGCTCGTGCTCAGTTGGCTGTCCACCAGCACATCCAGGTCCTTTTCCACCAGGCAGTTTCCAGCCACTCCTCCCCAAGCTGGAGCATTGCCTGGGGTTGTGACACAAGTGCAGGACCTGGCACTTGGCCTTGTTCAACCTCCTACAGTTGACCTCAGCCCATTGCTCCAGCCTGTCCAAATCCCTCTGCAGAGCCTTCCTACCATCTAGCAAATCAACATTTCCACTTTCTTTTGTGTCATCTGCAAATTTACTGAGGATGCACTCGATCCCCTCATCTAGGTCATTGATAAAGATATTAAACAAGACCAGTCCCAAAACAGAGCCCTGAGGGACACTGCTTGTGACCGGTCGCCAACAGGATTTAACTCTGATCCCCACAGCTCTCTGGGCTTGGCCATCCAGCCACTTTTAACCCAGAGAAGAGTCCAACTGTCTAGGCCATGAGCTGCCAGGTTCTCCAGCAGAATGCTGTGGCAAATGGCATCAGATGCCTTACTGAAGTCCAGGTAGACCACATTCACTACTTTTCCCTCATCCACTAGATGGGTCACCTGGTCCTAAGAAGAGATCAGGTTGGTTAAACAGGACTTGCCCTTCATGAGCCTGTGTTGTCTGGACCTGATCCCCTTCTTGTCCCACACTTGCCATGTGGTCAGCCCCAAGATGATCCGTTCCATAATCTTCCCCGGCACTGAGGTCAGGCTGACAGACCTGTAGTTTCCCCGATCCTCCTTCCTGCCCTTCATGTAGATGGTCATAAAATTGGCAAGTGTCCAGTCATCTGGGACCTCCCCCGTTAACCAGGACTGCTGATAAATGATGGACAGAGGCTTGGCAAGTTCCTCCACCAGCTCCCTCAGCACTTGGGTGGATCTTACTCAGCCCCATAGACTTATGGGTGTCCAACTGGCTTAACAGGTCCTTCGCTGCTATTTCCTGTAGGAAACTGGGTAAGCAACAATTATTGCCTGTAAGGTAGAGTTTTCCATTTTGTGCATTAGTTATATGCCTTCTGTGCTGACTTGCTTCCAGAGGGTATTGCTGTTGGGCCTGCTCGGTTGCCTTGGATTTATAGGTAATGCTGTGTGAAATTTTGCCCACCCTTTCTCTTTTGTGTGTAGCGTGAAGAAGCGAGTGGTTAGCTAGCGTGTCCTTGCCACCGAGGAGGTCAGGTGTGCTGGAGGATGGCAAGTATTGTCATTGTTTTGCATGTAGATAATGCCTGCTTTATCCTTACATTTATTTTTCAGAATTCCCACTTGCAGAAACCCTATGAGATTAATCTGATGGAAGAGCTGACCCTGAAGGGTGTTACCCAGTACTATGCCTATGTAACTGAGCGTCAGAAAGTACACTGCCTCAATACGCTGTTTTCCCGGGTAAGTGGTAGGGCTTGGCCAAGAGTATGGAGAAGCTTTTCTCCTTTTCACATGTTTTTTTCACTTGAAAATGTGCTATTCAGCTGAAGCTAAAATGGCATGCTTCTTGTCCTGTGCTTTTTTGTGTTCCAACTTTATTTTTCTCCCATGTAAGTGGCTATTGGCATACCTGCTTGGTTTCCTTTCTGGGAGGGGTTTAGACTTATGTCTTGGGCTATTGGCTGTTGAAACGCTGTGTCTACTGACCATGCTGCTTCTGTGTTCAGCTTCAGATCAACCAGTCGATCATTTTTTGCAACTCCTCTCAACGGGTTGAATTGCTAGCCAAAAAGATCTCCCAGCTGGGCTATTCCTGTTTCTATATCCACGCTAAAATGAGGCAGGTGAGTGTGAAGCCTGTGTTGGTTTATTCCATGCCACCCCAAGCGGTACTGCACAGCTGAATTAAGTCTGCTGGTTGCTTTTAAATTTGGGTGTTCTTTGAAACAAACGTGTATCTTTGCTTGTGATTTGGTTTTTAGACACTCTCTACACACCCAAAACCTCTTTCCAGAATATTTGGTGTAGCTGATCAGTTGGGATTTAAGAGTACTTTAAGGTCATGTTAATTAGTTTAGTGCAAGCACAGACCATGGCCAGAAAGCCCAGTTCTTATTGCTGTTGCTTTGCTTTTGGCAACAGGGGAACCCATGGTAGGCCACACAGTATAACGGGTGCAGATGAAAGGAGGCAAATTTAAAACAAATGAGAAACCCCCCACTAGTTGGCTGCTGGAATGCCCCGTGTGGCTTTGCAGACAGTAAATCTAGCACTGTGACTGCAGGGGAATCCAATAAGTCGGGAAGGTGGCTTTGATCAGATCTCCTGGCAAAAGCCACAACTGGAGTGGTGACGAGTGAGCACCTGCGGCCTTGGTGTAGATAATGAAAAATGACAATGCAGCTTTGCTGATGCAAAGCTTTCAGTACCTGTATGTTAGCTCACGTGTCCTCAACTTTCGTACTCGTTATTTCCTTGGCTTCTACGAGTGTACCAGAAGATGGCAGAAGGCTGAAGTGGTGCATGTAAGCCAGTAATGGTTAGACATGTTTTTTTTTTTTTTTTTTTCATTTTTCTATGTAAGCTAGAATATATTCAAATGAAAGCATTAGAGGAAACCTAGCTTTCTCTTTGTGGAACTGACAAGTAATGCCAATACTTACTGGGCCACATGCAGACTAGTAATTAACTAAGCAGAAACAGAAGTGTCAGTATGGAGAACAGAGCTATCTGATTGGGTTCCTTGAAGCCTGATTTTTCTATGGTTTTGATCAGTTGGAAGATATTTGTGGCAAAATGCAGGTATGTTTGTGTGGAAGCCTTTGTCATGTTCATTGCTGCTGTTCATTTTACTCCCAAACTTCTTAATCCTTCTGCAGTCTAAAGTTCTGGAAGGAGAGTCTTCACAAATGATCGACTTGTCGCACCCCCAGTTCTCATTTGGTAGTAACAAGCACTCCATACTGGAAAGTGAAGTTACTGCTGACTTCATTTTTTAAGGGAATGAGTAAAACATGGATTGAATTTGGCAGGGGGCTGGAGGAAGACAGTAGTCAAAGTAGCAGTTTAACTTCCTTGATGTGGGTTTCATGTAATTGTAACTGAAGATACTCCTGTGACGGCTTGGGTGCAGCTGCAGGAGGCTTTAAAATACAGGTGATTAAAAGCACCTTTGTCTAAAAGTGGTGCCAGGGACCCCTTACCAGAGTAAGTGATTTTGAGTATATGGGTAAGAAGTGCCAAAAAAATACATACTAGCAGCTTTGCTCTTGATTCGACTTTTCTGTCATGATGGGGGGTGTGTGTGTGTGAAGAATTTGTGTGATCAAAGGTTGGTCTGTGTAACCTGAATATACCTGAAAGTCTCAGCTGTTTGTTCTGCTTTGTTTATATATTTGCAGGAGCACCGCAATCGTGTGTTCCACGATTTCCGAAATGGCTTATGCCGCAATCTTGTTTGCACTGGTAAGAGTTCCTAAACATTTCCCTATTTTCCTAAAGAGTGTGGTAGAAAGTGGATGAGGCATTAGCCCAGGTATAACAGATCACCCAATTTGTAATAAAACCAAACGGTATGTTTCAGTAAGATGTCTTTGTCAAGTTTGCGTGTAGCAGGGTGGCAGCACTCCTTAAAGAATGTCGATTTTTTGTCTTCTGTGAGAAACCAAGAAGGTGCAACTTGCTAACGAATGGTTTTATTGTGATAGTGTTTTCTGCATGCGTTGAGCTTTCTGCATGTTTTCATGTGAGTGCTTTCTGAGCCGTTGGGTCACAAGCTTTACAAAATAACCAGTAGAGCTGTGGCTAGCATTGCCTGAGTAAGTTTTGCCCATTATTTACATATTCTTAGCTTATGTTTTCCAAATATTTTTATAGTTTTGTTTGGGCTGTGTATGATTGGAGTCATCCATTGTATAGCCTGTTTGGGCAGTACTGTTGTAGTGTCTGCTGGTCACTACATGTTATATAACAAAAATGACTAGAAGCATAATAAAAACAGTTGAGCTGGTGGGATGTAGTTCAGATCTCGGGTCTGTTGTGACATTCACACTGTACAGTCATGCGTGAGGAGATGCTTGCCTAAGAAGACCTGCTCAGAAATAGTCTAACAAAAAAACCAAATTAGCCTCTGGTAATGATTTTTTTTGGCCTAGATGAGCAGATCTGGTGTTTTGGCCATTCTTCTTCTACTATTCGTGTTTATGATGGCTAAAGAGCAAGAAGCAACTCCAACAGAATTGTACATAAACTATCTTTGATACAAGGGAGGCTTGTATCTGGAAATGAGTGTAGGCCAGAGTTACACATTGTTCATCTTCCCACCTTAAATAGTGACAGCATTTGATCTCACTGAAGTTACTTTCTTCCTGACCTGGATTGTCTTTCAGATCTGTTTACCCGAGGTATTGATATCCAAGCTGTGAATGTGGTGATAAACTTTGATTTTCCAAAGCTGGCAGAGACTTATCTCCATCGTATTGGCAGATCAGGTGAGAGGAAAAACGTGTCCAAGGTACAACTTTGCTCATGACTCTGATGCTTTTAGGCTTGATTTGGCTTCTGTTCATTATTACTGTATCTGACAATTACTTTAGGTAGCTTTGATTTTTCTGACAAACCACCTCAGATGGTTATCGTTGCAAATACCTGAAGAAAGGTCTGTTCTCTTGTACCTGGCCTGAACGTCGTAATTGAAAAATAGGAAGAAAAAAGGCATACTTTGCTGCAATCTCAGCAGACTTACTGATGCTCCTGTTGGCAGTTTGGGAAAATTCTATGCTGAAAACTTAGCTTCCATAGTGACTTAAATGTAATCTTCTTTTGCCTGTGTTCCAAGGTATGTTTCTAATGTCCGAACATCAGCAAAATATGTCCTTGAGAAAGGCCGTAAACAAAGGAACTTGGTGTACTTGAACTTTGTAGTTCAGGCTAGTTCCAGAACTCTTGATACTGAAGAAGGACTGGATATTTATAATGCAGTAGTGGAAGACTTCTCCTTGGTAATTAGTGAGGGGGTTTGGTCCAGATGTTTTGAACCTTCCGAGTTTTCTTATGCCTACAGCAGTATGCAGCTGACCAAAACTGGATGTGAAAGTTGCAGAGATCTGAGGCAGGGTCTGTATCTGCTTTCATTGTTGGGGAGCTGTGTTAACAACTCTACAGTCTGCAGACATTTTAAGTTGGCCTTCTGTTTCTCAGATCACACTTTTCTTTTATTTTTTGTGTGTGTGTGTCCAGGTCGCTTTGGTCACCTTGGCCTGGCCATCAACTTGATCACCTATGATGATCGATTCAACCTGAAAAGTATTGAGGAGCAGTTGGGAACTGAAATTAAACCCATCCCAAGCAACATTGACAAGAGCCTGTATGTGGCAGAATACCACAGTGAACCTGTAGAAGATGAGAAACAGTAAACACGTGCGTATATTAATGCCTTCCTGAATAGAAAAGTTGTGTTGGATGAAAGAGGAGCTGATACGTGAATGTTACTGCAGCGGAGGAGGCAGACAGATGTGCTGCAGAGGCTTTGAATGTGAAAACAAGGGCTTGAAATAGACTCTTAGTGTAAGGAGTTCTGTGAATGTGCTGAAGCTGGAAGGGGAGGAGGAGTAATTTTTAGTTGTTGAAATTGAAATGCTAACCATATGCCAAGGAGACCAAAAACAGGGGAAAAGGGGGAGTGGAGAATGGTGTTTGGAGAGGACAGGATGGCTTCTGGTAGCCTGAAGCTTGCTTTCTGTATTGCTTGGCTAAAATGAGAACTCGGTGAGAGGCAGAGAGGAAAGCACTCTTCAAGAAGGTGAGCAGAGAAAACGGATAGCTTTGAGAACAGTACCAACAGAAGACCCTTAGCACCTCTCCAGTTAGAAGGAACAGGTTCAAGCCAAAGGTGCCACATCATTTGTGTACTTTGGTTCATAGAACTTTTGCAATCAACGAAGTAGACAGCAAAGCTGTAGTTCCTCTTTGTTGCCACTCGAGGTCGTCTGCATACTTTTAAAAGCAAGCAAGGTTTCACTGTCAGGGACTCCTAAGTATGCCCTTTCGGATCATTGAGGAAAATCTGAGTCGAGCCTTCTTAGAAGAGGAAAACTTGTCCTGGATTTCAGTCAAGGAAAATACCTATAGGATGATGTCTGATTTGGTTTTAGTGAGGATGCTGTTGGGCGAGATCAGAAACCGCATGGTGTGGGCTAGAAATGAGTCTTTTGCGTATGCTTCTTGGAGATTATGAATCAGAAGGAGAATCTTGATGAAGCTACTGAAATCATATAATCGTAGAATTGTTTTGGTTCAAGAGGCCTTTAAGATCAACAAGTCCAGCTGTGAAGCCAGCACTGACAGGTCACCACTAAACCACATCCCTAAGTGCCACATGTACACATCTTTTAAATACCTCCAAGGATAGTGGTGGTGGAACTCCAACTTTCTTGAGCAGCCTGTTCCAACGCTCTACAACCCTTTCTGTGAAGAAATTTATTCTAATAGCCAATCTAAACCTCCCCTAGTGCAACTTGAGTCTGTTTCCTCTTGCTGTATCGCTCGCTACATGGGAGAAGGGGCTGATGCCCACCTGGCTCCAGCCTCCCTTCAGGGAGTTGTCAAGAGCCAGGTGGTCTCCCCTGAGCCTTCTTTTCTTCAGGCTCAACAGCTCCCCATCCCTCAGCTGCTCCTCACCAGCCTTTTCCTCTAGACCCTTCCCCAGCTTTGTTGCCCTTTTCTGGCCATGCTCCAGCCCCTCAAGGTCCTTCTTGGAGTGAGGGGTCCAAAATGGAACCCAGGACTTGAGG